GTTCTTAGAAAAATAAAATAAAATAAAAACAGAACAAAGTTGACCAGAACATTATTTTGAAAATCTGACAAGGTTTTGAAATCATAAGGAAAGAGATTAAAGAGGAAAAAAAAAGCAAAACAAACAAAAAATAAATACTTGCCAGTTTTTCCTGGAGTAGAAATAATCCCAGAGGAGAGAAAGGGAACAAGTACCAGAATCCCCCAGGGAGGTCAAAACAAGAGGGAGATGAAAGAGAAAAGGGGAGGTGGGGGGGAGGGAACCACAGAGGTCAAAGGTGACAATATTTTATTCACAGAATGAGTTCTGAATAGAAATATTGCATTGTGAACAAAAAGGTTTCAGCTCTTTGGATGTAGATGGTGCTGAWGGGGAACACACAGAGAAGGCTTAGGTTGTGGTTAGGAGATGTGAGAAGCAGCATTAGCATCCTTTTGATGACRAAATAAATCTCGGGCATTACCAAACTTCTGTGATGTTTCTTTGTGTAAAAAACAAAAGCCACAGCTCACAACCTTGGTTTGTCCTCTAAAACACAGCACAGACTAATTACACTGAGCAGCAGTGTTTCTCATGACGACACAGCAATTCTTTGGTGGCTATGGTTGGGAAACTCTTGTTGTTCGTCAATATGTGGTCACAAATATTCAGTGATGATGAATGACGGGGAGATATCAGGAGTGAGAAAATRTATTTTCTGCTCTCTCAGGAAGCAAAGTTCATTCAAACTTCGAACGGAGCCGAGACCTAATCAGAGTCACACAGAAATACGAAAGCCAAGAACTTTCCCTGACTGAGCAAGTTAATGACAAATAGACGTGGGAATTGGGACCCGACGTGTTTTCAAGCTCACTTCACATTTACAGAACATTTGCTCTCAGAAAAGGAATAAAAACAGACACACTTTTGGGCTTTGGTTTCAGACAAACTACAGGGCTTAACGACATGCTGCGCAAACTTTTTGGTTCAATGCCCACAAATAAGACAAAACTGATGATGAAGCACACAGACAGACGAAGAAGAAGAATCCTGTCTTTCATTAGGAGATATTAAACAAGGTTGTAAAAATCAAAGTGAACCAGAGGGGGAAAAAAAATTAAAGCGAAAACAAAGACACCAATTTATGCTTTGGGTACAGACTCACAGCTTTCTCCTTTATGGCTTCACCTTTAAGTAATGCAAACATCCTGTTCCTCTGTTCTTCCTGCCACAGTGGGCTAGTGCCAAAACCACATCTGAGGGCCAGTGGAGCACTTGGAGCAGGTGGGGGGGTTAATACATACATGCACTCAGACACACAGACACCGTCTGCAACTCACAGGGGAATGAATCGCATGCGAAGTGCTGCCTGTAAGGGCAAACACTGGCTTGATTCGCTTTAACAAAATTGTCATTATTAATCAGAGTCCACTAACTGAAGTAAAGAAAAGCAAACAAACAAGAACAAAATGTTTGTGAGTCTCTAAATCCTCACAGAGTGAAGCTCCATCCAAAGTCTATGAGAAGTGAGAGTGATAAAAAACAAAAGGAGAAGCACAGGAGGAGAATACTTGCCCAAAACCGCTGCAGAAGGTCCAACACACCAGGGATGGTCACGAGTTGACGACAAGGAGGAGGATAAAAAATAAATAAAAGTTAAGAGGAAGAGGGGAATTGGAAAGAAAGAGAGCTAACAGGGTTACACAATATTTTATTCAAACTTATATTGAATAAGAATATTGTATATGAAAGTAGAAAATCAAAAAGTTAGACACAAGGGTTTCATTCCAGCTGAGATGACTGACCAGATGAAAGGAAAACAGTATTGGTTTTAAAATGACTTTATATGGACAGGTCAGAGCTTTTAAACTGAAGAATATGAGAGAGGTTAATTGCTCTGTAAATATGCCAACCATTTAAAAAATCAATTGTAAAAAACGGGAATCCTGTCAATAAATTGCAAGAGAAAATATCATTGAAACTATTTTTTTTATTTTTGAAAACCAGCATAGCTGGAAACTTTATCCGACAAGGTTGAAATTATCATTCTGAACAGAATTCCTTAGAAAATCACTCTGAGTGAAGATATTTTATGATCTGCTAATGACAGTAACAATTCACTTGGAAAGAAAATACAAGAGGCTAAACAAATGATCTCCAACAAGACCGCTGCTGTCTCTGGACTCATTTAAAACAGATCAGAAAACTGCTGAATCCTACACATCACCCAGGCTTTGGAACGACATGCCATCATCCCGATGATGTCAAAGCGTCTGCTAAAATGTTTTTGAACTAATTTTCCACTTTGTACTTTAACAACCCAAACACTGAACCTCAGATCTTTGAGGCCCTTTCAAGTTGTTCAAACTGGCAGCAACTGTAATCAATAAAAAAAAATCTATGAGAAAAGGGRGTGATAAAACATTTCATAGTCGATGGATCAAGTGAGCTTGATGCCTATGCCAACAATTTTTTTTCTAACATCAGGGGCACAGAACTGTGGAGGACCAAAACTGACATAATTAAAAATAAAAGCAGAAATGTATAAATGGCTCAATAAATAAATACACTTAAAATGCAACAAATAATTTTAAGTTGGAGAACTTCACCTCATGTTTTATAATTTAACTGATCTTCAGATTTACTTTCTTCAGAGACAGTTACATCTTAATGCAGTGATCACAATGAATCTGAGCAGAGCTATAAGAATACACTATWAGAAAGGAGGAACACGGATGCAATAGGAGACTTTAGACTGAGACATCCCGATGCAGAATATATCAGCTAATAGAGCAGAGTGTCAGTATATAAATATCCACTTAGGGACTCACACACACAGTATGATGCTATTTTTTATCTCTAATGTGTGGAAAAACTTTAAACAGGATCTCTACTTGAAGCAGGGTGTGATTAGATTTAGAAAAATGGATGTGAATCTGATGTAAAAACTACAATAGAAATGTCTAAAAAGTCATTTCTTTCTATTTTGTTTCCAAGAAGTCAGAGTGTCTGAACAGAATTTTAATGAAACTTGAAGAAATGAATCACCTAATGCACATCTACAGCTGGAGTCGACCTGATTCAAGATGGCTGCCACAGCTCATCAACATTAACCTAACATGCCAGTTCAAATTTGACACCTTATGATTTTGCATAATGTTTTTAAGGTTTGCCCAAAACAGCTGCAATCTGTCATTTCTATACATAATATGACCTTAGTTTAAAGTCTGGCATTAAAGGTGAAGGACAATATGTATGAAAGGAACAAAAGGGATTTAGGTTAAAGTGCTTTTGAGGAATACATTATCTGGTTTTCTGAAGTTATATTTGTATTTTCACCCATTTCCTGTTCAGTTCTTCTACCTGACATGTCAGAAGGAAATGTCTGGCTCYTTGGAAACAAATTTTAATAGAGTTAAAGATGGTTTAAAACTATTGCAAATATTGTAAGTGACTGAAAAAAAGGCAAAAATTACAAAATTCAAATAAAGATAAAGATAAATAAAAAAATTTAGTCCATGGAGAATAAAACTTACATTTTGCCTGGGTAATCGTGTCGCCGATCGTGGCGCGGATGTAATACTTGCTGTATTCAGGAAGGACCAGGGCAAGGCTGGAAGAGGAGAAATGAGAAAAACATTTGGTTTTTAACTAAATACAACCACAATTTCAATGAAGTTGGTATGTTGTGTAAAAGATAAAAAAACAGAATACTATGATTTATATACCTYTTTCAACCTATACTCGAATAAACTACAAAGATATTTAATGTTCAAACAGATAAACTGCTTTTTGCAAGGATGAAAAAGATTTGCCAATCACCCTATTCTGTTTTTATTTTTTTAACAACTTCCCAACTTCATTGGAATTGGGATTGTATAATCAGCCACAACTTCACCATAACCACTGAAGCCTTTATTTTACAAATAAATTCAGACAACCCTACAGTGTCAAAAAGAAGAAACTAACTTTATGGAAATAGTGTACAAAATTTAGCAGAGAACAGCACCTGGAATTTTTCCTATATAATGAACGAATCGTAAGAAGGACTGCTGTCTACAGCTGTAGGTTTATTATTACTGAAAACATCATTCATTTTTACACAAGGGAGGATTTCATCATGAACACTTTCAAACTAAAAAAAAGGCAAGTGTAAGAACACACCATTTTAAATTATCATGGGTATGACATATTTTTCTTCAGGTATTTAATAATGATGATGGAGTTCTATAGGAGTTATTTCTTATAACGTTTGTTCAAATATTGGGTGATGTTGGAGGAAACAACACTTAGATTCCAAAAAAGTTCAACCTGTAATCTGTCCCCTTCACTGGTGCAAAGGTGTACGTCCTCCAACCTTGGTCCATGTAGCGCTGTAAGAAAAATATTGTTAGAAAGCAAATCTTTAAACATCATCATCATCACAATGAACTCTACAATTAAGTTCACCTCATCTTGAGATTTCACCAGTGTTTCTATAGTGTAACTCCCTGTCTGAGCATCAATCATTTCTTTTCTTATCTGTTGAACAAACACAAACATCATAAACAAATACATGAAGCATCCCTTTAATTTCTGATTTGAGCTCACACAACGACACAACACTGAGCAAATGATGCAGCCAACCTTCACTTTGACTTCATTCTCCATCTCCGCATCTAAAAAGTCGAGCGTCACAGGTTCATCAAACTTGGCAGTCTGTAAGAATGCACATAATTAATCACTATGACACTGCTATGAATCATTATTTCTAGGCAGAGAGTACAAAGGAGAAATGACCAGTAAACATCACGTATTGATCTTTCTCCAAAAACAGGGTTTGCTTTGTAGTCCTAAAGAGGAAACCAATTATGAACCAACTCTGGATCATCTGCAACCAATCCACCTGATATGTAATTTACAAGAGAAGCAGATGTATTTAAGGTCAGTGAGAAACATTTTGCCAAGCAAACAAACATCAGCCTGCGACCAGATGACTGAGATGTTTTTTTGGAAAAAACAAAACAAAAAAAGATTAAAAATCTGTCAAATGACACGAATACTGAAAGCCATGAGTGGTGGCAGCCATTTAAAAGTTTGCATGTTTTCACTTGGAAGAGTTATTTCATTGTTTAGAATTTTGTATTCATCTCACCAAATTACTGTTTTACTAACATTAATAATCAAACATTGTTGTAGTCACAACCCCACCCCCCTTTTTTATTCCTAGGATTTTCCTTGGTTCATTTTACTCTCAAATAAATAAATAAATAAATAAATAAATAAATAAATAAAT